AGATGCGGTCTCACCAGGGCAGAGTAGAGCATATGTATTTATAATAAATCATCTTTTGAGACTGAAAGCTTCATACTTTCTTTACCAAATATATTTCATACAGAAATTTATTTGTGCCAGATTCATGCACAGAGCAGACTGTATAAAACAGGATACCATATTTTTGACTAAAAAAGCCTGAGGCATCTAGTACAAAATAAGAACCACTTCTTGCAATATTTATTACTTTGTTATAATACAGTTTAATTGACTAAGTAATCTGCAGAACACACTTTTCATTCGCAATGTAGCTGAGATTAGATTAGCAACACATTAATAATCTTCTCCATTTCTATTACAACTTTTGTCTCTGAAGTTAATTGCTTTTCTAGAGGTTACTTGAAAATTAAAGAATAAAAAAAAGAAGTTCCCACAAAAGCAGAGGAAATTGTGCAAAGTTGAGGTTCTACCACTTATCCTACAATTGCATATATCTAAATTGAAGTACAATGCTACAACTACTTTATTCCATCCTGGAGGTTAAATCAGAAAATTAAATAGATGCTGAGGCTTAGGCTGGAGTAAAGCAGGCTGTATTGTTACTTCATTTTTAGAGTACTTTTTGCATCACTGCCAGAAGCCATCTGTTTCTTTTGATTAGCAGCAAAACAATCTTGCATCCTGAGGGTAAGTGGGTGAGAGATGGCTGATGGATATAGGAGAGTGTTTGCATCTATGGAAAATAATTTTAACTATAAAAATCAGAAATAAAGAACAAAGCTTATCTCTTGATTTGTAAACATCCTATTATCAAAAGATATAACTTCCTATAGCTATAAACTTATCCAGCTGTGTGATGCATCAACCAGTAAGTGCACTAAACTTCACCTTGCCATTTGTGAGTGATATACTCCCTTGTCACAAAGACGGTTCTAAAGCTGCTTCATGTTCATTCTATTAGCACAAACCTCTGCCAGTAAAGTTTAAATGTGTATGCATTATTCCAGTATAAGTAAACTTCAAATTATCGTTTTGGGGGTTATCCCTGTAGGTGAAAGAATTTGAGCTAACATATTATTCAAATTGGAAAAAAAAATTATCCAGTTATGATGGATTTCTGCTCAGAGAGCATTTCAAATGAATACTGCATTTAAACATTTTCAGAGAACCAACACTGATCAGAACCACAGCACATCATCATATAATGGCATCTAGATAAACAATAAGAAACATCTACAATTCATATGCTTGCTATAGTGCCTAAGACATTGTGTACTGTGAAGCATAAACTCAAGAGCGGTAAGTAGCCTGAAGCATTTAACATACTATCATGCATGCTAAATCAGATTTTCTTCTGTCTCAACATTCATGAAAACATTCTAAATTGAATTATTCAGGCCCATAAGCAATTCACTGAAAGACTTCAAAGTTTTATTTAGTTTGTGCAAAAGGACTTTAAAGTAAACAAGAAAAAAAACAAGGAGAAAAAAAAAAAGTAAGAGAGACCTTTACACTTCCTTGGTATCTTTTCCAAACCTGTCTTGTAGCTGACAACATATTTTTTCACTTATCACACAACCCAGCAATTTCTTGAGGGCTAAGCTGTCTATTTTTGTGGAACATCCAGTTGCTGGATGTAAATTTTTTTTTTTTTTTAATTTTCCAATAAGCTTAAAAACCCCCATCAATTTTTACATGGATATATGACTACTCTGTTTTACTTAACCCTGAAACCAACAACAAAAAATTAAATATTAGACTTGTTTACTTTGAATCCTAGACGTGTTCTGCACATTGTCAGTTGAGAGAGACAGTTGACAGTCTACTTTATATTCATCAGTCTCCAAACCTTGAACAAACATCTAGCTTATTACTAATAAAGAAACAAAACGTTATTCATTATTATTTTAGGAGGAAAAAAGTTGTTACATGGTACATGTTTCTGTAAGGGCAGAACATAAGGTTGGCTGAGCTTTCTAAATAGGTAAAACCATTTATTTAAGTACTGTGATGGCTAATGCAAATACTATACTGCTGAGGATAAGTATCTGAACACAACAGAAATTAATGAGTGAGCAAGAATCCTTTAAAAGGCAATAAAAAGTTTCAATACTGGGTAAACTACTTGAAACTCATCAAGAAACTCAAACTGGGACACAGAACAAGTCACTCTCTCAATATCTAAGGTATAAAATGATTCACTTTTTGTGGATAGGTTCTAATAAATGAAAGCCACTACAGCACTTACTGTTCTCGATCTTGTTCAAGGGCTTTCTGCTCTGCTTCAAGACTAGCCTGCAGACCTGCCTGTTCACTGCAGCTGTTGTTCAAGGTGGCAAGTTTCTGTTTCTGCTCTTCAATTTCAAAGTCTATTGTTGAACGACGTTGCAAAGCAGAGTGCCTCCTTTCTAACTTAGCAACAGCTTGCTCCAGTGCCTCTCTCTGCTGTTTTTCCCTTGATTCAAGGATTTCTTTTTCCTTTTTCCGAACTTTTTCTTCCTGACGAGCTACATTGGCTGTGAATTCAAAGGTTTCTTGAAGCTGCTGCAGCTGATTCGTGCTAGCTCTATAATGGGCAAGCTGCTCTGCTTTTTCTTCTATTTCTTTCTCTATTTGATAGAGAGTATTATCTAACCCTAACAAACCCCTATCAAGGACTTCAGAAGCTCTTTGTTCTTCTTCGAGCAGAGCTGGCAAATGATTACTCTTCAGGTACTCAAGCTGACGTACTTTAGATTGGAGTCTGTACTCTGCTGGCTTTATCTCGTCAACTTCTTCAGCCTTGAGTACAGCATCCACAAAGTTTTCATCATCTCTGCTGAGATGTAAATGTTCTTCATGAGCAAGTTTTATGTGTTCCAGAACTCTTTTTTCATCTGCTATTTCCTTTTCTAGATGATTCATTTGTTGAACTAAATCTTTTTCCAAAATAGTCAACTGTTCCAGTTGTTTCCTTTTAAACTCTATGAAATCATGCTGTGCCTTTTCTAACTCGGCCTGGTTTTCATCACCTTCAGATCGGGCTTCCTTGACCTTCAAAAATGATTCTCTAATATTTTCAAGATCTCTTTTCTCTTCTTCAACTCTTTGTACATCCCCTCTCTTCAGGAGCTCTATCATGACCTGCTTCTCTCGAAGCTGTTCTTCTAGATGAGCCACCAGCATCACCTGCTCCCTTTCTTGTTCTTCAAGTCTCTTCTTTTCTGATTCCAACTTAATATATTGTTCATCTTTTTCCTTTTTAAGTTTTTTCAGTTCACGGAAAATCTGCATTTTCTCTGCTTTTTCATTATGATTAAGTTCTTGTAGTCGCTCCAACTCCTCTTTGACCCGGGCAAAAATTTCTTCCTGCTGCTTTTTCTTTAGAAGCTCTATCTCCTGTTGTTCCCGTAATCTTTCTTCCTCAAATTTTTCTTTTTCAGCCAGCAAATCCTTTAATCTGCTCTCAATGTGAACACTTCTCCATTTCAGACTCTCTTCCTGTTTTCGGATTTGCAGCTGTACTATTTCTGTCTCTTTGCGCTGTGACTCTACTTCTTGCTGCATTCTTACAAGTTCTGCTTTGTCAGACCTTTGTTTTTCTTCCATCTCTTCTATTTGTTTCCTACAGTAAACATTTACATGCAATATTTCAAACTTTTATCTTTTATCTTTTTCCAATGAAAACATTGGAAGACCTGTTATATAGCATTTATGTTAGTACAAAAATCAGACTCTACTATTTCTGCAAAATACAATAAAATATTGACAGTACATATTAATGCACACAGTGAAGAGTAAGTATATATATTTTTATGTATACGTACATTCTCAGATACACAAACTTAGATAAAAATGACTTGATTAGAAATGTGCCTCACCAAATTCAAGCCAACAGATGAATTAAAATAATGCCTTCTCTTTAGATGAACCTAACTGAATTATTGATAAAAAGGATTACAAGCTTAGGAGCAGATGTATTTGAGAGAGAAATTACTTTAAGACAAATTATTATGTCCTGTGCAAATCTCTCTTTTAAGGGTTCTAGAGGATTCTGAATGAGGACAGACAGACTTGAAGGTCACCATTAACCCCATAATACAATTGCATGAATACATCTGCAAGTCAATTGGTTATTTTGTGAGAAGGTAAAAGTCAGATAAAATAAAACACAAGCAAAGCAATTTCAGCACAATCCAAATTCAAATCCTAACTACATAACAAAGAGGATAAATATCAGTCATTCTGTTGTATCATTTTCTGATTAACATCTTTGAATACTTCAGAGCTTCAGGGTTTTTCTGAGTCTACTGAACTTAGTCCAAATATGTAAACAGCTCTTTCAAATTGGAGCATGCTGAGAAGCAAACCTGAAAAGGCATCTTCCAGCTTATGAATCTAATCAATGCTGTAACCTGCAACAAGATGAGAGCTATTACTTCTAAAATCTTAGCAGGTATGATGAGCCAGAACAGAGAGCTCAGTTTGCCAGCTGACAACAGTACTTTCTTTTATACTTTAAACTGATTTTAAAATAATGTTCTTATAAGTATGGTTGGTATGCCTCAGCACTACATTTTTATTTAAGAGAAACGAAATTTATAAAGTGAGTTTTTCCAATCATGATTCAATCCAAAGACAACTAAACCATAAAAATATCTGAACGAAGAATGTAAAATAACACCAGGAAAATTAAGAGGAAGAGTAATACATTATATTGGTATAATCTATTCTCATACCTTTGTGTTTGCTAAAGAACACGATTAGCTACAATTCAGTTTGCCTATCTGTTACTAATCAATAAGAATGAACAGTTCAAGAAAATAACCAAAATCTTCAAAGACGACAAAACAAAATAAAATTATTGTATTAGGATCCTCTTCTTGCTGAGTAACACTGTGATTCGAAGTTAATTATTTCAACATGTATACATAAATATATACACACACATACACGTGAAGACCACAGAGAATAATATTACCTTTTGCTTTCTAATTTTTCAAGCTCCTCTCGCTGTTGTCTCTCAAATTCTAGCCTGATTTTTTTTAAAAGAACACAGTAAAAAGGTTATTTCCTCAACACCACAATATATAGGAACATACTATGCAATTCAGTATCTGTTTAGAGGATTGTAACAGAAGTTTTTATAAAATTATTCTCTACAATATTAGAAACTATATCCTTCATTAGGGTCACAAATTGGATATCATGCTATCTGACATGAGTACAAACAGAAGTAAATTAATTTCTGGGGGAAAAAAAACTATTTAAAAAGTAAAGTTAAACAATGCAGATAACTGATTAGCGTAGACTCTGCAAGCTAACTACATGCGGACATGGCAATCAATACATAGAAATTGAATTTATCTACCTTAGACAGATCGGTCCTTTTACAGGGAAAAGACTGCCATGGGAGGCAGGGGGAAACAGAGCAATCAATTAAGAAAGGAATTGACAGAAAAAACATTAGCAGTACAGAATATTTTAAAGTCAACAACAGTTTGTTTTATTAGAGGTTAAATTGGTTAGATTCATAGAACATTTGTCACAATACAACTCAAAAGTAACATTTAAATAACGATTCTTTCTGAACACATATATCAAATGCCAATGATCATTAAATTGATGCTCCTCTATTGTATTAACTTGGCCACTTCTGAGAAGGGAAAAAGCTATGAAACTACACTACAGCATGCCTGTAGTTTTTCCTTTTCCTCCCAAGAAAATCATCAAACATTACTATGATATAATCAGTGGGGTTGAAAAACCTCAAATTCCTGTAAAGTGCAACATTCAAATACAGAACACAATTCAAAACCATTTATCCAAAATATTTTGAGAATTTAACATATTTAGTTTTATGAGCTTCTGAAAAATTACGGGAGATTTTAAAATATCTTTAATATTGGCTCTTATTACAGTGGTACAGAAGTCTTATTCTAAATTCCTTTGAAAGACTTATGGGCTTTTCTTAAGGAAATTTTTCAAAACAAGCATTCAGCACAGAGAACCTATATATAGATTGAAGTATTCAACCAAATAAACAAATATCTGATTATTTCAGGCCTGTTACAGCTTACAGAGTTTGCAGTTTAGTGAGGCAATCCATAAACACTGATAAAATGCAAGACTTCACCACAAATTAACCTCAAGTATTTGAGAAACTGCAGTTTAAGATGTCATGACCACAATTATATAGATGAGGTTTTTTAAAAATAAAGTATTTTTAATAGTTCTAAAAATCATATAAATACCTATAACAAAAAAGAACTGCCCTTGGAAATACACAAAAATACACCAATAATCTAACATTTACAAAGCAATTTAAATGAACTCTGATTCCAACATGCTCAAGAAGCATCTTTCTAACTGCTGCAATACTGGAGAAAGAGTAGTTTAACGAAGTACATTTTTCCCTAGTTCAAACAAGTTCATTTAAAGAAAATACTTTCCACAATGTCTAAGAGATTAGCAAATATAGATTTTTTTATTTTTTATTTTTCTTTTATACACAACTCCAGACACCTGGAGCATGAGACACAGATGTAAACGTCTCACCAGAAGCCCCTTCATGTTTGCATTAAGACTGTTTAGGATGGGGATTATTTCAACACTATAGCGCAAGGAAAGATTAAAGATTTATCTTAAGGAATCTTCAGAAAGCAAAAGCTTAATTTAATGGTTACTATGCACCTTTTCTGCACTCATACTATTTTTTTTAAGCTATACCTCAAAAGCCCTCACTTTGGTTGTGGTCTACCTTTAGAATTCATAGCTGTTAGTTACCACTTCTTACCTAGGGTTTGGCTAACAAATGCCACTATATTCATCATTACTTCAGTGCAAAATAATATAGACCCTGAGGAATACAGCTTCAGTCTCTGGAAATCCAAATGTCCTTTGGGCACTGTCAGATGTAAACCATCTTTGCTTAGACAGCTGGCAAATATGATTTACAAGTATTCCCGTGCTTGGTTAAGCCACAGTGAAGTAAAATGTTTCAGGTCAGCTAACAATGTCCAAAATCCAGACCAAAAATCTTTTTATATTCTGACTGTCCCATAAAACACACAATTTGGCAAACATATTTTATGTAGACATAAAAATGGTAACTAGCTTTTGATTGAGATTCGATACAAGGAAAATGAGTCATCACAGCAATCAGCCTGATATAAAAATAGATCGGGGTGAAAACTCTGGTTTTTTTCTTTGAGGAAGTTATCACAACAATCAGTTTTACCCTACGCTAAAGTGAAGTTGGTGGTGCTCAAAAGGTTGTTCAGGAAGGAGGAACGAACTATGCAGAAACAGTTCTTTCTTCAGTGAAAATGGCTATTTCCCAAAACCAAATATGAATCATTATCAACACCCCAATCAACAGCTTTTCAAATGCTACAACTAGCTGATTTAAAAATGCACGTTTAATGCATTTTAGACAAGTAAATACCCCTATGAAGAGAAGGCCTAATGCAGCCTGGTGTTTTTGCTGCTACTTAGATTCATTTCTGCCTAAGAAAGTCTGAGCTCCACTGAAAGTTCTCCTACCATGGGGTTATTCATATTGTCTCTATTCTCTGTCAAAAGGTGCTCATGCTGCAGCCTTTATTTCTGCAGGGGTAAAAATTATGCTTGTCTTCCTTAGCTGGCTGCCTATTTTCTCAATATATTTAAGAACTCATCACTTTTGAGTACCTTAGCAGTATTTGCTTTGAACTGGTTACAAGTTCAAAGTTATTTCAATACAGGAGATAATCTGGGGAGGCCAGACAAGCTGTCAATGATTGCAGAAACCTTGTTTCTTTAAGAAGCTAGTAAAAAAAACCCACAGCATCACAAAAAAAATATAAATCACTAGCTTTAACATATCACTGCCAGTTTTACAAAGCACAGATGCAAGATTGATGTTTTCTGGTTTAGTCTATCTGTAATAAGTTTATTTTCATATAATCTCTATTCTCTTTATTAAGGTGAGCACTACAGGGAATAGAAAAAAAGACATCAGCTTGAAATCAAAAAGAAAGAAACATACAGATATTAACAACTAGAATCCACTCACTTCTTTTGTAGATCTACCACAAAGGAAATTAATCTGAGTAGTGTTGGATTAAATAGTCACCATTTTCCTGGAAAACATGGCATATCTAATGATAAGAGCAGTGTAGATAAGCTGCAGAGAAAGGAAGTCAGTTCTACTAGCATCATACTACAATACCTTAGTTTACACAGCACAAAAGTGCTATCTGGTATCATATTAGGAAACACTGAATACTGGCAGGACTACAAAGATGTTACAATCATGCTCAGTAGCCCAATTTATGAGATTTTTTTTTTTAAAAAAAAAAGCCAAACAAAAACACCATGCTAAATCCATGACAAGACCAAGTTTTCTCATGAATAGTTTTAGAGTTACAATACAATGTAGCTTACAAAGAGTCCAAAAATGAAATCTTCAGCATAAATTTCTGTGCAAAATTCTATTTTATCCAAAGCTTATTATCTGAAGCAGTGTTGTATAACAGAGACAAAGTGTGATTAGAGACAAAGACTAGGAACAAGCAGAACAAAGAATTTAACATGTTAAGCCAAAATGTTATGTAACTATCTCCACGTAGAGGAAATCAACAGCCAAACAAAACACACACACAAACAACAAAAGCCACATACAAAGACCACCCATCTGAAAAACGCAATTGGTTTTCACAAGGGAAAGATACAAATACAGCCAGAAAGATTCATAATTTATCTGCTTTCACAGGCTCTTCTGCCGCTGATTCTTAAAGATGCTAAAACTTATGAGCTGCTTATTGTGATCTACAGAAATTGAAAATTCAGCTGCTAGTCTTAATATTGATCAATATTGAAACCAGAAGAAAAAGTGGTCTTGAAAGTGCTAAGTTAACAATAAGCAGAATGGTACTCAGCTACAGAAGTCATGGGGATAAAACAAAATCCAACGAACAAAAAACCAAACTCACAACACAAAAACCAACCAAAACAGAAAAAACAAACAAACAAAAAACCCACAGAGGGCCAGCTACTGAATCTAGATCTACACTGCTGGTGGGCACCACACCATTATGTTATGAGTTACAGTCTATAGTAATAAAGGGTCACTTCAAAGGAAGTTGTCCATGTCCTACATTGTTCCTGATGGGGAAAAAAAAAATCCAAACCAAATTTAGTATAGGATATTCTTTTCCATCTGCACTTTTCCAAGATGCTTGCCCCAATCATATGCCTTTGCTATAATTACTTTGCTTTTGATACCCAGAGATGAGACTTATTGAATGTTTTACCCAGGCTGAAGACTAAGAAGAATAGAAGAACTCAGAACACTTGTTAAGCAGCATTCCCCACTGGAAGTACAGAGCTCATGTACTCCGCAACTCTTTACTCTTGGCTTTGAATTATTACTAAGCTCTAAATGCTCAAGACCTATTTTGTTCAAAACATGGTTTCTTTTGTTTAAGTTTCAATTACCCTAGCTACCTGTTCCCTTTAAAGTGACATTTCCCACAGGATTACCTCTTTGGACAAGCTTATGACATGATCAGAAAAAAAAAAAACAACCAAAAAACAAAGCCACAACAGTGCCATCACAAAGAAAGAACAGCTTTAACACCACCATAAATAAATCTAAAATTGTCACAGAACCTTAGCCTAAGCTGAAAAGCTGCTGTTGCCAAACTGCCATCCATGAAGATGTATCAATTGTGGAGAGTGCTTTCTTCTACTGACATGTAAAACCAGGACTCAATTAAACTGCAATGCAAATGTCAGAGCGTACCTTCTCTTTGCAGTAGTCATAAAAGCAGTAAAAACCAGTCACATTTGAGGGTTTTTTGGGGGGATTGTTTTGCTTTTAAATCACTGATCCATGAGGACAACAACTGCCTCTGCAGTACGTGGCCAATGTGTATTAAGCATGGCATATATTGTTTTAAACAGTTAAAGCATCTAAAAATAAGAGTTCAAATTATGAACCTGGAACTATGAGCTTCCTTGCTTAGAAAAAATACACGTACGTAACATTGACTATGGAACAACCTCAGATAGGTGTTATTGCTCACAGTCAAGTGACAGTCCTGGAGACGTGCATTCTTCCTGTAATGTGAGACTTAAGCATAATCCTTTCTCATGTTTACTTACAAGTTAAGCAGGACAAAATATCTATTCATGCAAGCCAGATCACAAAGATCAATTGAATGCAGATTAGCAGGAGAGTATCAATAATTAACCCTCTGTTTGTAGTTTACAGTCTAATAAAACACAAGCATTAAAGTGTTCAGGAATGTGAAGAGTATTTCACCTAATCTTATCCTCAATTTCAACAGCAATAGTGTTCTCATGATCACATCCACTAAAGGAAAATAAAAGTTTCAAGAAGTGTTAGAAGTTAAAAGCGGCGTTTTTTCTAAAAACTGCTGCATACATCGATAATTTAATTATATTATTCATACTGTTTGATTTTCAGGAAAGCAAGGCAAGATGTTTGAAGAACTGATAAGGAAAAGAGAAGCAATATTCCACAAAATATATTGCGGGGCCAGGGGTGGGGAGAACAATTTGCAATCTACTCTATCATAGAGATAATGAAGTAACTAGCCAGACTTCCTCTCTCTCTCTTTGGTGGTTTTTGTGTTGCTGTGTTTTGCTTTTGTTTTAAAAAGAGGTTACAGGAAGAATCCTCTCTCTCTCCTCAGACACAATTTGGCATTATCTGAAGACAGTATGAACTTCTTGGGCAGGGAAATCACTCTTAAGCCCACCTTCAATTGGGCCTTGCCCATGTCATTACATTTTGCTGTAAATCAATCAAAGTGAGGCAATGGTGAAACAATCTGTCCCACTCTATCTATGCTGACTGCAAAGTCAAGGTCAGTACTGTGTCGTATAATGCAATTGTTCATAACAGCACTGTAGCAGAGTAACACTGTTAGGGTAAAGCTGATCAATAACCAACAGCCAGGAACTTTCCCCAGCCCATAGAAAATATAGTACTAGCAACTATCAATAGCAGCTTTTAGATCAAACTATTTGAAAAGCTAAAGAAATAGAAGAACATACATATATGTTTATCTTCTCTTTCATCTCTGTTTGGAAAACAAAAAAAGGATGAAATTTATCAGCAACTAGCTCACTATCTTGAGATGTCTGTAGGAAACTCAGTAGCAAAAGAATAACAGTCACATTTCAAGCAATGTTATTACACATACTCACTGTATTTGATACACAGTTTAACTTGAAGTTATTACCTGTCCAATCTTCCTAAATACTAATGGATAAAGAACAACCCCACAGTAAAACTGCACTATCCAAGCCTATAATTCAATTTATAGTCAATTTTTCAAAAGCGCATAGGTGGTTAAAGTGCGTCATCTCAAACTCAATTCAAAACACAGGCACAAGCTACTGAGAAAAAAAAAACCAAAACAAAACACCATCAATTCTCAGCAAGTCACTTTAAGGACATTGGTAAAAACATCAGAAACAGCTTCTGTACAATAAGCAGTCTATGTCATTGTAATTGTATAATAAAATTACTTTCCACATCCTAACTTGGGCACCTACTAGGAGGTATATAGGTGAGAACATAAGACATTCATTTCCTAGCCTTTTTATGCTTGTTTTGGTATTATATGAACTCAAGAAACCTTACTTTTCAGTCTAGACTATATTTTTCTCAAGAAAAATAATTAACTTGTATTTCTGAAGAAAGCATAAATGTAAAACTTGCTCTATCATTATTGTGCTGAAAAGCCTTTCCTATAATGCAAACATCTCTCAGACTCCAGGTACTACAACTTCCTTCATGTTAGATCTACCAGTGTGGCTGTTTGCTGGTGCAGTTACTCTTCTTGCATTTAAGTAGAGAAATGCCAAGTAAAAGCAAGTTTTAAGCAGGATGGAAAGTCCCTCAGTGTCCCTTCATTCAATTTTCTATCATGGACTAGTTCAAATAACATTTCTGAAAAGTTCTGGCTTCATTCAGAAGCCCATTATTTCGAAAGAATATACTATTAACCTAAGAACAAAGTATTTTCTATTACTGCCATTTGGAACATTCAAATTACTAAAATGAAGAACAGCTGCAATTTTAACAACCGCATTTTAGTATATACTCACCCTGGATTATAAAGCATAACTGCTGACAGGTTCTCACAAGATTTTGAAAGATCTGTCATAGACAAACTGAAGGAAGACAGCAGTCCACTCTAACAACAGACAATAAAATAAATGTATTAGACAAACAATGATGTGCTTACAAACTCTTACTTTGTTTCACTTGATGAAATATTAACTAAAGGATGTGAAGCAAATTAAAGAAGTATTCTACAACAATCAAGGTATGTTTATATTAGCAAGACAATAACGAAAAAGTTTAAATTTCCCAAACAGATTTAATCTCACCTTTCTTTTCTCCCTTAGCTTAGCAGCTTCTTTGGGGTGGTTAAAGCGAAACATATTGGTTCTTCCAAGTAATATAACAGCACCTGATAACAAAAACCACATACTATTCACTGACAACACTCTGTACCTAAAATCACCACAATTTTTCACACACACAATAGGTAAGCAAAGACTTCCATGAAGCAAGACCACAATGAAAATGCATTTTGACAATTCAAGTGCATAGCAATGCACAGTTTTGCTAATTGATGTACAGTTCACCCCTTCCTCTTCCTACTTTAAAACAAACAAACAAAAAAGCCCCACACATGTTCATGCACACAAAGGTCAATCATGTTCATGCAGTTCAGTTAAAGAATAAATATAGGTAGAGGAAGCAGTGGAAGCAGATGCCCTTATATGACCTATATGCTCCTCGGGAGTGCTACTTTGGAGGCTACCAAATACTGATCCAAAATCTGACTAAAAACAAACTGTTATCCATCCACTACTGATTGCAGTCAGTTTTGAATCCACATACACTGAAAGCTCCAGATCTCCATAATCTGTACTCTCACTTACCTTTTTCTTCTTTATGTAGAAAAAAATCCTTAAGTTTATCATCATCCAAAAAAAGATTATTAGACTTTTATATGCAGTAGTTATTTTCTGAGGTAAGAACCTTGAATAATTCATATTGCTCAATGCACATCCACTATTGTATCAGTTAAGGTGCAGGTCACAAATAATATGACTCTGGGTAATCATATTTTAAAGACAATGGCACCAAGATTAAAAAACTTTCCTACTAAGACATATATTGTCAGTGTTGTGTCACTGCTGTCACAACATGCAAGTCTTCCAAGTTAACCATCACAGAATCAAGCATTTATCTGTTGGTCTGTGTGAGGCACTTTTAAAAAGAAAAAGAACTCCATTATACTCACAGTATGAAAAAAATGCACTTAGACTGTTTACTACAAAAACAATTTCTTACCATATGAGAATAAAATGCTGTCCTTAAGGAACACTCCTCTTAATATTAGCTTAGTTAGAAATATCAACACAATTAAGTCCATCCAGTCTTGGCGAATAAATGGCAAAAGCACTATAGTCATAGCATTGCTTCTCACCATCTATATAGACACTTCAATTTTGGATCCACAGGAACTCTTTACCTCAGTCTAATTCTAAAAAAAGATACCTTTCATAAATCTGTATGTAGGTTTGTACTGCAAAGTCATTTTGATACCAACTCTGCAATTTATGTCTTGCTGCAGGTTCACCTTTTCTTTGAGAAGTGCACTGGGCATAGTTTTTGTGTAAGCATATTAAAATGGGTCCATGATGGTCATGATTACTGTAGTGGAAGGGCTAAAACTGTTTCTAGTCTACCACTGCTTCATATGCTCACCATTGTCCCAAACATTTCTCTCTTCCAACCACCAACTCACCATTTCTCTCACCAACTACCAGGAGGGGGATTTTGTGACAGTAAGGATTTCTATGAAATTCCTATAGTTACTTTCAAATGAAGATCAAAATAATTAATGGTATACATATTTTACCACATTAATAGGTAGAAGCAACATGAGTAAGTATCAGAATGCATACAAACACGTTCCCAGCTCCACAAATCTAAAGGAAAATAGGAGAGAGGGGCTTAACAGCAACTCCCTCGAGACAAAGTAAGTCTTTAGCATTTGTGGAGCTCTGATCTAATAATTTAACTGGTTGATTCCATCACATAAATGATCAGAGAGCATAGGAGAAAAAAAAAATTGACTGCTAAATGTCATCAAGTATCTCTGACCTACACAGAGCAATATTATGGAACTATGTGAACAAATGCATCTATAATTAAGATCTTAACCAATGTTAAAAAAAGCAACTTCTTATTTTTATAAGTTTATTTTCTTATAGAATTATAAAAAATGTTAAGTAGAAAAGTGTTGGCAGTTTGGCCCAAAACCAGAAAAAATTGTTTCTATTTTAGGATAAACAAGGTAAAGGACAAATTCCAACCCGAAATATTAATTCGGTTACCGCCAGAAATCTTACCATATGCCCTTAAGAATAAAAAAAAAATATTATAGTAAGCTGCATTTACACAAAAAGGCCACATTAGCCAGAATTCACAAATGATGGAAGTAATCTGAAGAAGGAAGTAGTAAATAATAGGCCATTTTTTTTTTAATAAATCCCATGACAGTCTAAAAACTAAACACATTTTCAAATTAACAGTTACTAATGATGAACAGAAACATTTAAATATATCAGCAGTTAATCAGTGTTACCTAAAGCAGACATTTAAGAAGGCTGGCACTTCATGCTGTGAGACTAAATGCTAACACAGCCAGAATACATAGATCGCACATGACTTGTTAAACTAGTTATTTCATCAGCTTTGCCCACCTGATGTCATAGCTACCATCTTTCTGTCAGACTGAGTCTGGTTACACAGGCCAGCTTATGCAGCTGTTCTTCACAATTTAGGAACTCAAAGGAACCCATTCCCCTTTTTTGAGCTGCAAATTTCTTTAGACAGAGATATGGGAGTTAAAAACTCAGCTTCCACTCTTCATAGTACAAAAATTGCAGTTGTTACATGTGCCGGAAAGAGCAAAATAGCATCCAAACTCCTTCTTTCTTCTGAGGTACGTGAAACCTTTACTGCCTTTGAAATGCAGTAGTATAAAGGAAAGTTGAGTCATTTCAACTCAGTTCCCATTGTTTACAGTGTTATTTGCCATTAATGTTAATGTATCTGTTGCTAAAAATTTATCAATAGGATTTACTCAAACATAAGACAAAGGGGGTTGGGCTTTCTTTCCTCCCCTACCCCCTAGTATCTGAAACAGAAACAAGTGCATATGCCTCTTGTTTCACATGAGACATTTTGCAAAATCAACCTCCCCTCTCTACACCAAAACTCCTTACTTTCTGTAAGCAGACTTTTGAAGCACTTGTTTGAGTACAGAAAAGATACAACGCTTTCCTTGTTCAACACTGCATTCTTCCTTTGTTAGAATATGCTTACTCTGAAAGCTACTTTTCCAGGAATGTAAAGTGACATGGTTTTTCAGCAGCTGAGCTGTGTCACAGCCTCATTGCTAAATGGGAAGATATTGTGGGTGTTCCTGGAAGATAAAACATCCTGAACCTCTGCTGCAGCACTCATCAGCTTGCTTGTGTTGGCCTTGAAAAGAATGGCTAACAATGCACCTTTGTTCCCAGCTGTCCTGTCTGCTTTTTTGTTTCCAGATTTTAAAGCTTTTATATTAAAATTTTTAATTCTCTATACTTCCTCCATGAGGGTTAGCCTCACCCTTTTTGTCATTGCCCTACAGCAGCAGTGAACAGATACTCCAGCGGAATCTCTTGCTATATAAGAGGATTTGGCAACAGAGCGTTAAGTTGGACCAGTCTGAAACTTAATAGATGGGTGCAGAGGTGTCTCTGGCATTATTTAGTCCTATAGAGACCAATATTCTTTTTCTTAATATCACAGCAACATAAGCAATTTGGCATGGAGTTCACTTTATACATTGGCTTTGAACAAAATCAAATGGTAACTATCAATTTATACTCAAGATTATGAAGTGGAGTAAATTAGCAAAGATTTCTCTTTTCACTACATGGCAATTCTTTGACAAAACAAAAACTCTGTGGTTCTCCTGATGTTTTTGGATTGTAGTTGAGAAGACATGGAATTATAATTAATTAAGCAATAACCCCTTTATATACATGCAGATTTTTTTTTCAGTGCTGTTGCCAGAAACAAAGATGCTGTATCAAAAATGACACTGCGCTGGGTAATACCTTGGTTTAGGTGCGTGGCCTCTGTAATCTGAATACCATTCACAGAACACTGTGCTCCATTCAGTGGTATTAGATTCACAGTACCGTTGAGATTTTCAAAGATGCAGTGCTCACTTTCCAAATCAAGGCCGTGAAGAACTAAACACAAAGTAATAAAATAACATAATTAGTCTCTTAACAAGTAAGATTAGCATGCTGATAATAATTTATTAAGGACATATTGTACTACACATTTAAGAGTATCTTTTCTCTTTATTCTGGACAATGTTTTTTCCCTTCCTTCACCACATCCTGCATGCCTTAAATGTCAACATTGTTCATTGTTTTATTGTAGTAGAAACAGAGGTGTGTTGGGCTGCTTGGGTTTTTTTGGTGTTATATTCTTTCCTCCTATGTTTTAGCACCAGATTAGTAAATGCTTCCTTCCTTCTGACAGCAAACAGGAAAGTAAACTTTACATATATGTAGAGACAAGGGGTTTTTTGATCAGTTTCTGAAAAATAACAAAAGCGTCTTGACCTTAAAGCAACCATGCTTAAATTTGAAAAGACAGGATGTAATCTGTGACTGTAGACTAAAAAGGATGGCTGAAATAAAGTGCTTATGTTTTATTATATTCAGGCCTTTTATCAGTAAGTTATGCTACTTTCTGTCTCCTTCAACTAGTGTACAATCATCTCTACCTATATTGCTTAATACCACAGAGCAACACAAGTTCATTAATTTCATGGAATTTATATAGAAATTTTAACCCAGGCATCTTTTGACCCAGAAAAATAACAGAATTCAAGGATGCAGTTTACTTAATGAAACTGCCTTCAAGCAACATATGTGACAGGGCGATCCAGGTCTGGCAGTTAGTTGCTTTGGAAAGAAGCTAATAAGAAAATCAGTAGAAGTCTACCTACTTTTTGCCAACTTTCAGAATTTTCTTCAACTCAAATCTAAAGTCCAAAGATTGCTTTAGGTATAACAATATAACAATACTGTCATTAAACAAAGATTACAAGAATGACTGTGCAGTAATTGTGACAGGTGCTGTATTAAAAAGGATGGTATTTTTACAGGATGCTATTTCAAGAGAAGTTAGAAATGAATTAGTAATAAGTATACAAATATGAATAAATTTTAAACCACAAGCTATTCTAGAACTCATACTTTTTGCAGCAAATCCCACATAATTTATGTCTCAAATTTTCTAAAAATTAAAATATGTAAGAACATGCAGACAACTGAAAAAGGGAAAAAAATATGAAGCTTTGCTCACCTATTGCAATGTTAGAATTAGAAAAACAAAAATGACTGAAGAATGTAAAAAAATGCCAAATGCCAAATTCCATACCAATATCCTGTTCTGTCACAGCATCTTCTCTGCCAACATATGTTTGGCCCTCCTAATTAAGGGAAAAACCACATTATTTTCAGTTGAAATCTCCCTTCCTCCCCCACAAAGACATGCTATCTTTCCACTTTCTCAGAGTAACCTGAACGAAATTTATGTTTAACAATACATTAAAAATATTCCAGATAGCAATATTATTAGCAAATTCAAATTTCAGCTGTCCCATGTAGAACCACCTTTGTTGTTTTGAGGTAATAAATCTAGATCTGGATTTCAAGTCAAGTTTTACAATGAGATGAATGCAAAACCAATATACATAATAGTAATAAATAATACATAATAAATATATACATAATAATAAATGTAAGGAGCACTATATTTAGACAGCAAATTAATACTAGTTTGTCTACTGAAAAGAATTACAAAGCACAGAAAAGCTATGGAAACACAGACGTGTACTTACCTTCAAGTGGTACAAAATGATACCAGTACTGAGCAGATCATCATCAATGCCAATGAGATGAGGCAGTTCAGAATCTAACACAACACCTATCCCTTCTTTCCTCAGAGCCAAAGTTTGTTCCTATAAAAGACGAAACTCTGTTTATTAGGATATGCAAGAAATACTGCTCTTGTTCTTTCTAAACAATTTAACTTATTCTCTGTGATATCACAAAAACCCCCAGTTTTTTAAAATATTTTTAAATACATTTTCAATGTGACTGTTGTATTGCCATTGAGCGCTTCAAGTTTGCTGTTCAAAAAAAAAAGTCTGTGAAGGTGCTATTTGAAAGCAACCAGACAAACAGCTGAATTATACTAGATAAGGAAAATCAATCAAGAGCATAACAAAACAATGTTGTCTACAATCTACATACCACCTTACATTATGGTAAGGAGAATTTTAAGTTTCTCAGAATTCAGTACAGTTAAGGAATAGAAAACTGAAAACTCTCTGGAAATCCATTAAGCAAATTGAAACTTGCACAATAAAAACCCAAGACATCTGAAAACTCAGTAAGCCAAAGCAGTTAAAACACCATTAAAGGAAGCACTGACAACAGTAAATAAACGCAGGAAATATTTGTAGCTTATAATTTCAATTCAACATTCCGTTGGGCTTCATTATACAGCCACCTATGGAATGAAGCATCATCCAACAGGACTACAAGTGGGAAACTTCAACCTTGCATAAAATATCATGTGATATAGCACTGATCAGACAGTCTATGCAGTAAACTAGAAATTAATTATAGCTATGAAGTAAGTTTTTGTATTTATAAAGTTTATTTTTCGAGTTGAAACAAAATCCTATTGGCTTCTAAGCCTGAAGCAACAGATGGCAACAGAGACTGTCAGTGTGGACACACATCACCTTCCAAAATGAATGTATTTTTCTGTGTAAAACTGCTAAGCCCTTACAAGCCAAGGAAGACTGACAACCTAGGAAGGAGAGGCAACGTCACCAAGTATTGCTTCTCTATATTAGAAGTCACAGATTTTTCTCCTGGTGCTAGTGAACACTGAAAATAGGTTTTCTGTCAGCAGTGAGACTACTCCTTTTCCAAGTCATCAATACGCCTTCTCCAGAGCCAACCAAGACACTACACTGTTTGTAAGAAAAAACAGGTAGATAGTTATATTTTCCCAAGTACAGCAAATTGACAAATCTGAAAGAAAACAGATGCAATATCTCATTTCCCTGCATAGCACAAAATGTCATCAATATTGATACTGTTTAAAAGATTCTAAGTATGGATACACCTGGGCAATACAAGATGATGACACAACATAAAAAAAAGACACATTAAAACAAAACCAGGAGATCCTGCTCAGGTCATGGATGAATTAAAAAAGTTCTCCAGTATTCAGGAAGGAAGAAAAAAAGCTATGACTCATGTTGCCCTGCAGCTTTCTGACATTCAAAATGCACCCAGCTGCTCTCCTTGATATTATAAAAGTGTCACCTCATAAAACCAGGAAATACAGCTTAAATCACTGTTCAAGTGGAAAAGGAATTTCAGTCAAAAACACCTATCACATTAAGTATTTATTGTCTGGCATTTACTGTTATACATAATTTATAATGTTCTCATATGACTAGGCTGAAGACTTAGAACACTGAGGACTGGGAGACATTTACACAACTGCTGGCATCTTTGGGCCAATGGAGCTGATAAAATATTAAGAGCTCTTAACATTTTTCCCCCCCTGCATAACAAAGCACTCACCAACATCCCTGACTGAGGAAAAAGTAGACATCCCAGGAGCCAAAGAAATTATCACTGGGTGAGAAAACTATCTTGAAAATAATTAAGAATAAAGAAAAAAAAAATATTTAGTTTTCCAGTCTTTTAATATTTAACACATTTTTACTATATTCAGAAATAAAGCATGTGTAATTATGATTTAAAATAGATGTGCTGCTTCTTTATTAAAATCTAAAATTAAAGAACGTAAATTAATTGAGTTTCTAAACCCTTATTTTGTAAAAAACTACCACTCACACACAGAATGCATCCTATTGATGGAAGCATTGTAATAAGTGCAGCAGACAGAAGCTGTGATTAATGATAATTTTTTTAAAATACTTGCTGCAAATTAGCTTTAATATTCAGATACAATTTAATAAAAAACCAGAATCTTAATCAGGTATCTGTAGTAACTGCTGAACTTTAACTGGCTTAAAATTTAATTCCAAATTCAAAAGCTTCTACAAGGAAACCTCCAAACGCCAAACTGTGTCCTTTCGCCCCAAACCAAAATCACAGAAACCTCATCAACAACAGATCATTATTATTATGTTCTCCCACAGTGAGATAAACAGAAGAAAGGCCAAAAAGAAGTAGCCAAATTGCCCCTCTTTCACCCTTGATGGCATAAGAAGGACATTCCTCAAGGAGGACAAACCTCTTGAAATAAATTTAAGGTTTGTAAGCTATTATAAGGCAGAAAATTATTAGGTTTGCCCAGTGATTTGATTCACTGTCATTTGCTCAACAGAATTTCAAGAAGCAGTGAATCCATAAGTCAAATGACAAGAGCAGGAAAGGTCACTGTCCCTATCAAAAAAGCCACTAATTCAGAAAATTTAGGAAAGCCTCAACATACAGTTTAAGAAACCTGGACATATTGCACACGTGTTAGCTTGGATTATCCTTGAACAGAAAAGTGTACACATACTTCTTCATTATTTAAGTTCATAAACTGTGGAAAATAAAGCAAGCAAAGTATTATCCATAAAGAGGCACTCCAGTTACTATAAATGGCTACTGTGTGAGGAGAAAGAATAAAAAAAAAATTTAAAAAATTTTTTTTGGAGCCACTAGATAAAATGGGCTTATGTAAAGAGTAGAAACTCAGAAAAATAATTTTGAGTCAGTACATAAGAAAACATTTTCCTGAGAAACAAAGAAAAAATGTTCTATATGTTCTAGAAAAAAATGTTCTGAGACAAAGTTAAAATAAGGAAATTTCATTGTGTATTTAAATGATGGTCTCTGAATTCAGCTCTGACTCAGCAGTCAGAAATATCCTGATACAATAAATTCTCTAGCACTTCTGTGAGAGATATAAGAGCTACTGTGAAATCTCATCCTTCTGCACCAATACATTACGTCTGATGTATTAATTGATACAGAGGCCTCTCCAAGCTCACAGATAAGACAGATTCTGGTAGTTTAGGAACAAAATCTTTGTGTAAAGTACTTATTTGAACCGTAGAGTTCATCATATACAACTATCCATGACAAAGAACAGACCTCTAAGACACACAGGATTTAGAATCATAGAATCATTAAGATTGGAAAAGACCTCTAAGATCATCAAATCCAACTGTAAACCTAACACCACCGTGACCACTAAACCATGTCCTGAAGTGCCACATCCACACGCTTCTTTTACACCTCCAGGGATGGTGACTCCACCAACTCCCTGGACAGCCTGTTCCAGTGCTTGACCACTCTTCCAGTGGAGAAATTGTTCCTAATATCCAATCTAACCCTTCCCTGGTGCAACCTGAAGCCATTTCCTCTTGTCCTGTCACTAGTTACATGGAAGAAGAGACCAACACCCACCTCTCTACAACCTCCTTTCAGGTAGTTGTAGAGAGGGATAAGGTCTCCCCTCAGCCTCCTTTTCTCCAAACTAAACAACTCCAACTCCCTTGGCCGCTCCTTATAAGGTTTGTGCTCCAGACCCTTTGCCAGCTTCGCTGCCCTTCTCTGGACATGCACCAATGCCTCTCTTTCTATGCCATTTCTTTATATGCATTTATTTAAATGCACACACAAAAATGGAATCACAAAAGTTTACTTTCTTAACCAAAAACATATTCAATTATATCAAAAAAGAAAATTAGCCCAAAAGACATTTATGACATTCCTTGACTAATCAACCAGTAAAGTGAAACATATGCTGCTACCAGCTCAGTACATATTAAAGAGTACACGTAATTAGTACCCTGCCCTTTTAATGAACAGAATCTCTTGGAGGAGTTTAGCTTCTGTTACACTTTCCAGTGCAAAAACTCAATTCTTTTATTTAAATATCGAACAGTTAGCTGCTGGCACACAGTCCTGAAAATACACTGTGCAGACACTTTCAGTAAAACCTAACATTATGCTGGCTAAGTAAATTGTCCAGATGTCTATATTTAAATTATGCCAAAACATGCCATACCAAATTAAAGAAATTATGGGTAAAAATGTGCAACCACAAAAGTCTTTACATTAATATTTAACCAGACTATACTAGAGCAGATTTTTACGCTAACAAGTACTTTGGGTGCATTTAATCTCACTGAAAATATGCTATTATATCCTGAGTTCACAAAAATGTGTGAAGATACCCAGTGGCTCAGCACTAACATTAAGCTCTCCATAAAATATACAGATGTAAACTGTACACAAGGGAAGTTCTTAATTCTTAATTGGTTTTCCATCATTCTGTACACTTTACATTCCCTTTAAAATCACCAGAAACAAATGTTTCATACCTACAGAAAAAAATATTCCATACCGTTCAGAAATCAAAGGCATCTGAAAATGCTGATTTCCAAACCCAGCAGATACATGGCATTAAAGAGGCTACACAAATAGAGCAAGGAACATGAATGAAGCAGCTTCAGCTGGTCACTCCATAATCAAGCTAGGTGAAAAACCCAGGACTTCACTCACTGAAGTAAGAAATTTATATATTTGCCATCCCAGAATGGTGACTTAAAATTACAGTCCCACCACAGAGGTTTTAGACAAAGCCAGGAAGCTGAAGTTTGTACTACTGAATTACAACCAAAAAAAGATATGCCTATACCAGGCCAGTTCATGTTTGTGTGCTCCAAGAGGGCTAGACTGCTTGTGTTTCCAGAGTCAACCCTTTAAAAACAAACAAACAAAAAAACAAAACAAAACAAAAAAACAAAAGAGAAAATGAGGTGTAACTGCAGGGCAGTTAAAGGACACTACAGACATCAATAATTTAAAAAGATGCAAGAAACAAACTGGAGAAATGGTGGAAGGAAGGTACTTTTGGACCAATGATCAGGGTACCCATCACCTGTGGTTCCATTACTTCCAAGAACTGCAGACAGAGAAAGCGCA